GTGCTTTTACCCCTAGTCATCTCTCCAGCCCCAGGACATGGTGTTTCCTGGATATCTTCTGTGACAGATCCCTTTGCACAGTCCCAGCTCACTTGACCCCTGCAGACCTTCACGATTTATGCCAGTCTAGACCCTGCTATTGCGTTTCCACTTAAGGATATATTTGCAAGTAACAGAGATGAGATTTGATATCAGCAGAAGAGGATGGCAAGTGCCCAGCTGTTTGCAGCTGGACAGGAAGCCTGTCATCCTGTGATCTGCCCAAGCCCTGGTGTCCATTGTGATTCTGATTGGTATTTTCGACACTAGCTGATCGTAATTCCAATTTTAGAGAAAGCACAAGTTTCTCCCTTCCAGCAAACCTGCAGCTCCAATCAGATGCCACAGGGGAAACCGACTGATTGCACTTAAGAGTCTAATCACAAGTGTGTAAATATAGGGAACAAAAGAGCCAAGTAACACACAAACCCACCCATTCAAAGTACTCAAGAGAAACAGGCCAAACCAGCCGTCACCACACAAGTCTAACTGAGCTAGCCGATCTTGTTTCCATATCTTCTGTGAAGAACTTAACTAAAATCCCTGGTATTTAATGTCCCCAGTGTGCCTGATGTGATACTGAGAGAGGCTGTTTCCTTGGAGCAGCTTTCAGAATGGCCAGTGCTCAGAGCAGAGCTCAGCAACTCACTTCTTCGTTTTAGACACAGCAACCTCAAACAGTACAGGGGATTCAACACGGACCTCCAGTTTGTCCTCTCCTACCGACTACAAGCCTAATCTCTCAAAATCTCTCTCTCTTTGAGACAGGGCCTCCATGTAATCCTGGGTGTCCTGGAATCACTATGTAGACCAGGCTGGCCTTGAATTTACAGAGATCTATCCACTTCCCCCTCCCTAGTTCTGGGTTAAAGACATGCTGCTACCATGGCTGGTTCCCTAATCTTTTTTTAAATTATATTTTACCTATTTTTGTGCTGTTATGTGTGTATATATGTGCATGTGTGACGAGGTACGAATGTGGGGGTCCAAGCCTTCTTCCACGTGGTCTTGGGGATCAAACTTAAGCTGTCAAACTTGGTAGCAAGTTCCTTCACCCCTGAGCTATTTCACATGCCTCCGACTCCTTTTTGAGACAAAGTCCCTTGTATCACAGACTGACGGTCAGGATTGCAGATGTGTACCACCATGCCCAGTCTATGCTGTGTTGAGGATCAAACCAGGGCTTCCGGCATGCTAGACAAGCAGTCAGCCAACTGCGTGACATCCTGTCATCTTTTGTCTCTTTGCTAGGTCACCCAGGCTGGCTTTACCTTGCCCTGTAGCCCAAGCAGGCTGGGAAGTTCCATGTTCTGAGAAGCTGAACTGCAGAGCTCCTTCGGTACCTTTTCAAGAGGAAGCCCTGAGTGGTAATGTCCACCAGAAGTCCAACTACCGAGGAAGCTGGGTCAGGATTACTTGAGCGTAAGACTTGGAGACCTTCGGGGCGACAGTGAGACCTTCAAGAGGGAGAAGGCGCAGTAAAAGGAAGCGGCAGCTGTGGTGTTCAATAGGTTCACAAATGCATTTTTCGGGGCCATGCAGATAGAGGGCTCATTTGGCAATTCATAGCATACAAACACAAGGACCTGAGTTTGAGCCCCCAAACCCACCAAAAAAGACAAGCATGGTGTTGGTTGCTATCATCCAGTGCTGGGGAGAAGGTATACAGAGTGGGACCCTTGGGCTTGTTGGGCAGACAGTCACTCTAGCCCGATCAGTGAGCTAAGGTTCAATCAGACTCTGTCTCAAAAAGCACAATGGAAAGCCGGGGTGACAGCCTAGTAGCTAAAGTACTTATGATGCTGCTGGGGACACAGAGGTCCTTGTGCTCACAGATAAGCACTGGGGAAACCAGGAATGTTAAACACACAGGTTGTCTCTTTGAAAGAAGACGTATAACCAGTTTTCTGCCCTCAAGAATGGGAATGGATGTGGCTAATTATAGACTGTGACCTTGGCAATGTGGTACAGCCAGGCCACAGCTGGCTCCCCAGACTTACGTTTATCTCAGTCATCCTCCCCAGACCCTTATCTTGTTCTTCAGTCAATATATAGCACCCATCTATATGGGAGAAGTCACATGTACTTTACAAACAGGACCAGAGGTGGTTTACAGCCTGGTGACCTTTGCTCTATTTGTATGACTAAGACCACACCAGATCCTCCCCCAGACCCTTAAGACGTCACGTGTAGTCAATATACAGAACCTGTTTTTAAGGACGAGGTCACATGTACTTTATAGAGTTTTGATGTAGCCATGCTTTAAGCTTTATTGTGCACACGGGACTGAGTTATCACCAGGAAACTTTTCCAAATTGTGCTGTACTTAAATATGCCTAAAATAAATTGCCCAGTGTCAGACTCGTGAAGTTTGAACCGGATTTCCTTCTTGCCTCTCACAGAATGTCACTCTGCTGGCCATGATGCTTGTAGACACTCCCACACTATGCAAGCATGAAGACCTGAATTTGTATGCCCACCTACACTCAGCACTCACAAAAAAGCCAGGCACAGCAGTGTGTACCCGGGAATGCCAGGACCAGGGGAGACAGACACGGGCAGATCCTGGGGACTTGCTCGATAGTCAATCTAGTGGAAACGTAGGTGTTGGGTTCAATAAGACCCTGTCTCAAAAACAAGGTGGAGAGAGAGAAAGATGCCCAGTGTCACTTGCTGACCTGCACACACATACACAGCCCCACACCCAGCACACAAACAAATGCATTTTCCTGGGAGAGCAGAGCATGACTGTGGCTCATGCCTGTTGCTCCTGAGCTGTATGGAGACGTCGTCGTCGTCGTCGTCGTCGTCGTCGGTCGGTTTGAAGCTGTCCTTTCCTTTCCAATAGATGCTCTTCACTTCTGGCTTTTGTTGCAGGGGACCAAGTCCAGGGCCCTGTGCATACGAAGCTAACATGGACACTGAGTTACCCCAACCAATTTCTGGCTTAAAAACACTGTCTCAATCTGTACATTATATGGCCTGGAACTGTCCCATGGCAATCATCCTGCCTCAGCCTCCCAGGGGCTGGAGTAACAAGGCTGAGTCAGCAATCCAGATTCTGGATACTCATGAGCACCGATGGAGTGGTCCAGACTTCCCTCCTTCAAACGCTCCTGACAAGGTTGTCTTCCAGCTCCTTCCTGGACAGGAGCCGGGGTTGTGGGCCACCTCAGATAGGTGACAAGGAGTACGGACCTCAGTTGTTCTTGCTGGACAACAGACCACGATACCATCCTTCTACTAATAGTATTTAAAGTGCTGATGAGCGTGTGTGTGTGTGTGTGTGTGTGTGTGTGTGTGTGTGTGTGTGTGTGTGTACATACGTGCGCGCCTGCCATCCCCACGCCCTAGAAGCTGAGGCACAAACTCACGATTTCAAGGCCGGCCTGGAGACGCCCGCCTACACTAAATCCAGAACTCCAGCACTCCTCACAGGATGCTGGGGTCTGTAGAGGCGGGACGTTTCTCTTTGGACATATCCAAGACTGAACATAACACGGAGTCTGGATTAGTATCTGGTGACCTTTCTGGACACCATTACCACAATGTATCCCAAAACTTAGTTCTGGATCTTACTGAGTTTAAGGTAGACTTGTTTACATTTACCTTGCTAGATGAAATATCAGTTATTACCAAGCTGGTTAATTCGCCTAGTTTCTGTCCACTAAAAGTCTGATGAATAAAATCTTCACGTCTGTCTTGTAGGCAGGGTTTCTCTATGTAGCCTGGCCTGGCCTGACACTCACTGTGTAGAGCAGGCTGACTAGCTGGGCCAACTTTCCAGCCCTTTGTTTTCATCTATACCCAAACATGCAGCCTGAGGCAAGGCTACATCCAGTGTTCCCCTTCCAGCTGGGCAATTCATAACTCAACCTTTGACGAGCTTGGCTAACCCAATACCAATCTACTTAACAAAGATCAAAGACTGGCCGATGCCATGATGTAATCCATTTACCCAGTGAGCATTTCCCTGATAAGCAAGCCTCTCCAAAAGATGAAATAGCCACAACCTGAGCTAAAGGGACCCAACAACACCCACTCTTTTTTGCTCTTTAGCTACAAACTTCAGTACTTATCCAGGCAAAAAGAACCTTAATCAAGGTCTGATGATTCTGAATCACTGGATCCAGGTGATCTTTCAACTTCAACCCATTTTCACGGGGACCAGGAATTTCTTACTACTTTACAATCCAGGACTACAGAAAAGTCTAGTTGAGTGTGTGGCCAAGTCTGCATAGGACTCTACTGTAAACTACACTAGACATTTGACTGCATTACTAAAGGGGTTCTGGTAGGCAATCTTCTCAGATCCAATGCTACTGTCAGTGTTATGAACATGTAACAAAGTCTGATAGGTGAACTGAACTCATTTTTTAACTTATAAAGGTTTATAGGGACACAGTCTCACTCTAAGTCAGGAAACACTGAGGACTTGAGACAACTGGAGAGCATGCAAGGATGAGCTACATTATTCTGCTGGATTATGTTGCTGTAAAGAATGAAGAAAACAGCCAGGCATGGTAGTGCACACCTTTAATCCCACTACTCGGGAGGCAGAGGCAGGTGGATCTCTGTGAGTTTGAGGCCAACCTGGTCGTTCTGGTAGGCAATCTTCTCAGATCCAATGCTACTGTCAGTGTTATGAACATGTAACAAAGTCTGATAGGTGAACTGAACTCATTTTTTAACTTATAAAGGTTTATAGGGACACAGTCTCACTCTAAGTCAGGAAACTCTGCGGACTTGAGGCAACTGGAAAGCATGCAAGGATGAGCTACATTATTCTGCTGGATTGTGTTGCTGTAAAGAATGAAGAAAACAGCCAGGCATGGTAGTGCACACCTTTAATCCCACTACTCGGGAGACAGAGACAGGTGGATCTCTGTGAGTTCCAGGCCAGCCAGGGATACATAGTGAAACTCTGTCTCAAAAACAGAAGACAAACAAGAATATAAGTCTCTCTACCATGAACCCTAGGCAACAAAATTTAATGTATTTTTGTTGTTGTTGTTATTTTTGAGACAAGGTTTTCTCTGTGTAGACCAGGCTAGCCTTGAACTCACAGAGATCCATCTGCCTCTGCTTCCTGAGTGCTGGGATCCAAGGTGTGGACCACCATTGTCCTGCTCTCCATGTACATCCTTGAGGCACTGCAGAACTAATTTCTCAACAGTATAATTAGCAACCTCTCAATGATTCCTCACTTCCCGTCTGCTCTATAGACTTAGCTCTGCTTTCACCTCCATCACACTGCCATAGGGTTTTAGGAGGGGATACACCTCCTCTTCTAGGAATCTGTGGACCTGCCAGGAGCAAACACAAGACAGAAGGAAATGTTAGTGCCCTCTCAAACCAGCTCTAGCACTGAGACCCAGCATGCTAAAGCTTCCTCCACTGAGCATGCGCTGTCCTCCCCTGCCCATTAGCTCCGTCCCAGACACAAACATGTCAACCTGGCACATCCACAAAGACCATCACACCAGAGGCCGGTTCACCCAGGCCTCCTCAGTCGTTCTAAAGTCTGGAAGGCACCACACTGCAATCAGACTTCTCCATCCTCGCCCTAGTCCCATCTGACCAGTTTCCAAGGGATTAACTCTCCTCCCTTTTTCTGTACTGATGACCACTGCCTTCGCTCAAAGTCCTCATGATCTTTATTTTTACTTAATCACATCTCTGTGTGTATCTGCATGTGTACGTGGCTGCCAGTGGAGGCTAGAAGAATGCAGTGAATCCTCCGAAGCTGGAGCTGGAAAGAATTTGGGCTTTTGGTGGCATGAGTCCTTGTGCCCTAAACATGTTCCTTGCAAACAAAAGCACAGTTCTGATCTTTGAGAAAAACAAAACAAAACAAAACAAAAACTAACTCTTCATTTCAAACGGCTGAATGCTAGTGTCCTACTGATGACAGAATTCTGAGGGTGAACCTTGGGGTGAAGGGTCTCTACTTTCTGGTTTGTTCGTTTTGAGACAGGGTCTCTCTATACATCTGTGCAACCCTCGGAGTGCCCAGAACTCACCATGTGACCCAGGCTGGAGTTAAAGGCCCATGGTACCACAGTCAACCTCTACTACACTTTCCAGCCTCTCTGGGTAACCCTCTCACATTCCTCCCACAGCCCCAGAGGGCCAGGCTCTGCAGTCAGCACCGCAGAGACAGTCCTCCTGAGGGTGTCCTGTTGGACAGTTACCTGCTGGGGCGCCCGGCCAGTGAAAGAAGAGGGGTCCAACAGATGCTCCAACTGTGAGTGGATGGGGCTGAAGTAGGCGTCTGCCCGGATGCGCTCTATGAGGTCATTGTCACCCCCTTCCTGCTTAACCACGGCAGCTGCCTGCTGGGAAAGCACTCTGATTTTCTCATGACAATCCTGGGGAGAGCGAGGTGGTGTTAGCACATCATAGCCGGGTGCTCACACAGTCATCAGGCATTTCACAACAGAACCCGTCCCGCTGAGGTGGCTCTTCTAGAATGATCTCCATGATCTCTACTCTGACCACAGCTTAGAGACACTGAGATGGGCGTTCCTCCTTCCCAACCTTATGAACCACTGGTTCTTGCTTCCTCCTCACTTCCAACAGAGATTCAGACCCAATGGCAACAACCTTTTCTATGCTGGGGGAATTGGGGGGGGTTGGGGGACAGTCTCTATGTAGCCCTGAACTCTCAAGAGATCCACCTGCCTCTGCATCCTGAGTGCTGGGATTAAAGGTGTGCACCACTGTGCCCAGTGTGATTCACTGCAACATACCTGTCGGCTGCCCCCAGCTTTGACCATTGCCATGATGATGTTCTCTGTGGCCATGAAAGGCAGCTCTTGCCGAATGCGCCGTTCAATTACCTAGAAGGGCCAAGACAGATGCCTCAACATTACGAAGCCACGCACTATACCCAGTAGGTCAGGAAAATGCACAGTAGGGCTATGAACTGCCACTATTTACAGGGATGGGTGATGTGATGCTTTATTCAGGGCCATGTTTCTCAATTTTCTTATAAATCCAGATATCTTCTCTCCCCTCCTTCCTTAAAAAAAAAGTCTTTAAACTTTCAGAAGCAGCTTCACGGGAACAATCCTTAAAACTACCAATCTGGTTGGCGAGCTGGCTCAGCACTTAAGAGTACTTCTTGCTCTTGCACAGGGCCTGAGCTTGGTTCCCAGCAGTGACATGGCTGCTCACAGTCACCTGTAACTCCATTCCTAAGGGATCTGTCACCTTCTTCTGGCTCTTCATGGGTACTATGCATACATGATACACACACATACATGCACACGAATATTCATACACATCAAGTACCCTCCACCTGTTAAATTTCATTGCTCCACTTCAGTGAGAACACGATGGAGGAGACTCCATCTGGTTCAGGTGCCTAAAACAAAGCAAATGGCCAGGTGTGGTGCTGCATGCCTTTAACCCCAGCATTCCAGGAGGCAAAGGCAGGACACTCTATGTGAGTTTGAGGCCAACCTGGTCTACACGGTGAGCCCCAGTCAGCAAGGGCTACTACACAGAGAGACCCTGACTCAAAGGATAAAAGTCAACCAACCACAACAAAAAACCCACTCACCAAACAACAATAACAACAAGGCACCTGGTGCTCTCTGCCCGGCTCCCTGAGCTGCTCACAGGTCAAGACAATTCAGTGTTTTTCTCGGTCTGTATGCACGTCTACAATTACACAGATCTGGTTCCCTATACCATCTTGGAGTCAAGGATGAGGTCCGGTAGAAGAACTCTCCGAGCCAACCCACAGCACCCCGATACACTCACTCCAGAGCACTCCCCTTCCCATATCCAGAGGCCTCTTACTTTGGGGTACACCACCAATCCTTCAGAAATGTTCTGCAGGGTATTTAATACAGTATCTGCAGTGAGAAATGCTTCAGCCAAACAGATCCGTCTACAAAACAAATGCATTCAGTTAATGAAATGTCAGAGACACACAAGGCGTCTCTATTGACTTCTCACGCCTTACGTACTCTGGGCAGTTTTCTTCAGTCTCATGATGCTGCTCACCCCAATGTCCTCACAACCCTCTTATCGTCGGTCACTTCTGGTCCATACTGCTTGCCCAAGCAGCAGACCTTCCACTAAGTCTACCTCAAACTCCAGCATGCATCCAGCCATTCCCTCACCATCTCTTGCTCACTGCTACCAACCTGCTCTCCTCTGCAGTGGCTCCTGTCCCGGCAGATGTCAGGAGTACCCCACTCCTGACCAAGTTCTCCAGCCAGCCACCGAGGCTGGCCAGATGGCTGACTCTACTCACATCCTTCCTTCCCATCTACATGACCACTGGGCCCAGGAGGGCTTGGACTGCTGAAGTGGTCTAACTTGTCAGTGCCCCTGCACACATGACTCCCTAAATGGTGCGGGGAATCTCAGCAGGCGGTCTGAATTAGGTCTTACCTTCTGCCACAGCCTTCTGCATCAGGGCTTCACAACCATAGCTTCCCTTACACACAGATCAACGTTTGGAAAAATAAACTGCTTCAGCAGTCACTTACTTTTGTTCTCCAAATAACACAGTAACAATTGTTCACCCAGTAGTTACACAGTATTGGGTATGATGTGCAATCTACACATTATTTTAAAGTATACCGGAGACGGCTTAACAGTTAAGAGTGCTTGTTGCTCTTATAAGAACCTGGGTTCAGGGCTGGAGAGATGGCTTAGAGGTTAAGAGCACTGGCTGCTCTTCCAGAGGTCCTGAGTTCAACTCCCAGCAACCACATGGTGGCTCACAACCATCTGTAATGAGATCTGCTGCCCTCTTCTGGCCTGCAGACAGAACACTGTATACATAATAAATAAATAAATATTTAAAAAAAAAAAAAAAGAATCTGGGTTCAAGCTGGGCAGTGGTGGTGCATGCCTTTAATCCCAGCACTCGGGAGGCAGAGCCAGGTAGATCTCTGTGAGTTCGAGGCCAGCCTGGTCTATAGCGTGAGATCCAGGAAAGGCACAAAGCTACACAGAGAAACCGTCTCAAAAAAAAAAAAAAAAAAAAGGACCTGGGTTCAGGTTCAGTTCCCAGCACCCACATGGCCAGCTTCCAACCATACATAACTCCAGCTCAGGGAATCCAATACCCTCTTCTGGCATACCATGGTACACACACAGACATACACATGTAGGCAAAATACTCATACACATAAAATATCCTAAATTTAAAAAATATACAACAGACAGGAGGCCATGAACAAACAGGTGTTCACAGCAAAAGCTAGACTCACTTTGGGGCCTTTAGACTTTCCATAGATTAGCTGCTACCTGTGTTCATACTTTAGCCAAAAGGGCTCCATTCGCCAACTCGGTAGCTCCACATGGGCTCCTGCCTCTTCTTTGTGTGTGCGCCTGACCATCCTTTAAGTGTCTATGTTTTCTTTCCTTTGAGACAGGGTTTCTAGGCCAGGGTGTTGACTCCCTATGAAGATGACCTTGAATTTGTAATGCTCTTGTCTCCAACCCTGTCCCCACTGAGAGCTGGAATTACAGTGTGCACCACCATGTCTGGTTTTAGGTAGTACTGGGGATCGAACCCTGGGCTTCGTGAATACTAGGCAAGCATTCTACCAAATGAGCTACATCTTAACCTTCCTTCCTCCGTTGGGAAGGCTGTCCGGACTCTTCAGTCACTGCACTAGGGGCAGCGTCAAGCTCCAGTCAAAGCTTCTTGAGGGGAGGGAGAAAGCAGACATGTTCGAATACGCCTCTTGGCTCCCTTCCTTTAGTCTCCTCCCACGGAGCTGCGCGTGCTGTCCCCATCACTGACCGGTTGGCACTGTCATCCAGTGTGCGTTCAAACCACTGCACCGAAGCTGTCTGCAGTGGGTCCATGACAAGGGCCATCAGGTGGCGGGCCAGGCTGCAGCACCGTTCAGAGCGCATGGGGTTCCGCTTGTACGGCATGGCACTGGACCCTGCCCACAGAAGAGGACAGGATGTAAAGGCGGAAAGACATCTAGGGACAGCAAGTGCACAGCATCTGCTGGGTGCATGCTGCAGAGTCTCAGGGCTGTCCACGCGCCTCGCCAGCAGCCTCTCCTTTACACTCACCGATCTGCTGTTTCTCAAAGGGCTCCTCCATCTCCTTCAGGTTCGCCAGGAGGCGTATGTCAGTGCAAATCTGTGGAGGCAGACCAGGCATCACCTCCCACGCTTGCTACATAGGGAACCCCAGGCCAGCTAGGTACACACCGGTGACAAGCTCTTATTTTTTTATTTTTTTGAGACAGGGTTTCTCTGTATAGAACAGGCTGTCCTGGAACTCACTCTGTAGACCAGGCTGGCCTCGAACTCACAGAGATCTGCCTGCCTTTGCCTCACAGGTGCTGGGACTGAAGGCATGCGCCACCACAGCCGGGCAGGTGATAAACTCTTAGTGTGTGCTGTTGCCGAGTTCAAGGCCAGCCCTACCCACCTAGGAGCTCCCGGAGTTTCTGCTCAGGCTCCTCTCTGCTCCTGAAAAGCCGAGTTGACAAACGCAAAGGGCACAGACTAGGGAGGTGGCTCTGCAGCGAACCAATGCCTGGGATGCACAGGGCCTGGGATCCTGAGCACCACAGAACAGCAACAGAAACATTCTTAATCAAAAAACTGCTTAAGGTATCAGGAAGCCGAGTGTGGCGGTGTGTGTCTATGATCTTAGCAGCTGGGTCCAGTCTGAGGCTAGCCTGGGCTACACAGCAAAACCCTGTCTTGTGAGTGCAAAAGAGAGAGACACAGAGACAGGTCACGTAAAGACAATACGGTTATCTTTCCCTCTAAGACAGGGTCCTCATGCAGCTCAGGATGGTTTTCAATTTGTTATGTAGCCAAAGAGACCCTGAACCAGTTCTGCCTCTCCTGTTGACGTGATGGGATTACAGGCACAGGCCACTATCCTTGGCTGAGGAATTTCAATTGTAATGTATTCTTAGACGGATAGACATGGTGTAGATGTAGGAGTAACTTCTTTCTCTCTGGCACACTTCACTTTAAAGGCTTTCCTTATAGGTCTCAGATTATTATGACTAATGCACTGAGATGCAGTTAACTGAAAGTCCAGGCCGCTCTGCTCTGTCACCCCCACCCCAGCTGCCGCCATTACCTTGTGTATGGACGCCCCTAAGCTGGCCAGCACTGACAGCACTTCAATGTCCACTTTCCGTGTATAGGTCTGTCCTGTGATGATGAAAGCTCTGGAAGTAAACAGAAAAGAGATCTATTTTAAAATATGTGACTGTCACCAGGCAGTGGTGGCGCACGCCTTTAATCCCAGCACTCGGGAGGCAGAGCCAGGCGGATCTCTGTGTTTGAGGCCAGCCTGGTCTACAGAGCAAGTAACAGGACAGCCAAGGGTACACAGATAAACCTTGTCTCCCCCCAACCCCCCCCAAAAAAGTGACAAATATAGATATAGACAAACCAAAACCAATCCTAAGTGATGGCTTGGCCTCCTGGGATGCTCAGTTATGCTGAACTCAAAGGGCCTGACTGGCAACTGACTCCTAAATAAAGTTGTTTCCCCTGTTTACCAATCCCCAGCAAAGCGCTCTAACCCGAGGAGGAGGCAGAACCTAGTATGCCCATGTCCCTGGGAGCTCCAGGAGGTGCCCAGGAAAGGAATCATGGAAGAGCCTGGTGGAACTCAACATAGGTAGTGAGTTACATTAACTCACTGAGGG